AGAGAGAGAGAGAGAGAAAAAGAAAGAGAGAGAGAGAGAGAGATACCGACGTTAAAACATATATATACGTCAATGGCAGCGCCAATCTTTAAATAATCGTATACTTTTGTCAAAGATATTTTTGCTTATTATTTTGTTTTATTTTTATTTTTGTTTTTTCGAAATGATAAACTGTGAAAACATGGTTTAAAACGTATGCTTTCCAAAGCTGTTACCATAAACAAAAAGAAAAAAAAATATTCCCACGGATATTAACAGTTTTCCTAAAAGATCAAACAAGGAATTTCTCGAATATACATATATCGTTCTCTTTTATTCCCCAGCTGTTGTAATGTAGGCAAGAATCTGCTTTTGGCTGCGATATTATAGGAAAATTAAACTCACATATATATATATATATATATATATATATATATATATATATATATATATATATATATAATTTATCAACACAGATATAAAGGCGTTGCTGTTTGAAAAGAGGTGAAATATTCTTTTCTATTGCAATAATTATTATTCATCGACGATCTATAACCAACAATAATGTCTTGTATGTATTAGACGAAACTATGACAGCTTATAAAAATGTCATTTAAAATGGCCGCTCAAGGTTTACACAACTAAAGAAAGCTCTTCTTGAACGAATCTGGCGACGAAATTTTTTATTGTTTTATTTCTATCTACATTTTTTGATTGTCGCTACGGATTTTACCGGCGAGATTATTATTTAAATATTTGTTCATAGTCTAGCTGACTAAAGGAACGAAACAGCCTTTTAAAATTCATAATCATTAAGTCTGACCTTACATCTGATAGAATTATAAAACTATAGCAGGTGTTCACATTCTGATTATTGCTTAGAATTTTAAGTGATCAAAAAAGCATTCGCTCCGACATGCAAAGTAAAACTTGTATTTAACCTGTCGGTTCATGTGACGACATTAAACTAAGCGTTCAGTGTTTTAAAATAATTAAAAATCCACGCGCACAGAAAATTACTAGAAGAATTTGGAAATGATCTCGAATTGAAAGGATTTTAGTATCGAGTCTTATTGTACATTCCTTTTTTGAATTTAAGCTTTGCGCTAGAATTTAAAAAAAAAAAGTCAATCTGGATTACTGTTTGAAAATTCTGGAAAAAAAAAACTCTGGCAAGATATACGCATGTGGACTTGCTGATTTAGTGCATCTTGAAGAACTGGTTTTATCGCTGACAAAAGGAATAAACTCAAGGATAAGAGACCAAACGCTTAAGTTAAATCATTCTTGAACGGTGTCCGAAGAAGAGGCTGTGAAGATATTTTACGATAAAAAAGAAACTACAAAAAAAAAAAAAAAAAAAGAGGAAAGTTATTTATTTATTTATTTATTTTTTGCCATAAGGGAAAACCCGATAAGTAAAATTTAAATTTGCACAACCAATAAAAGTTACTCACAAAATAATTTAAAACGTGCTCAAGTAAACATTATTATTATTATTATTATTATTATTATTATTATTATTATTGGGTTTCTGTTGTATACATATTTCCTTCCGGGTCCCAACCAGAAACCTAAGGTCAGAAATAGCTTCATGATATCTTCTACTGATCAGTTTTTATAAAAAAAAAAATTAAGATCACACATATTTTACATAGATAAAGCTCTTCGTAATGTGTGATCTATAATTGGTCATTATTATTATTATTATTATTATTATTATTATTATTATTTCTGCTATGGACACACTACCTACCAAGTCTGCGGAAAGACCTAAGGCAGGTCGTGGTGTGTTGTTATCATGAAGTTGCTAGCGTTACATAGACAAAGTTCTCCTTAGTGTGTGTGCTGTAAAGACAATTTTCTGTATGTCTCTTAAGCTGGGGTTTCCAGGGATTCTTTCAATGTGTTGTTTTGTTCCATTTTTATAATTCCAATTACCACTGGTATTATTCTTGTTTTCAATTTCCACATTTTTTTCTATTTCAATTTCCAGGTCTTTGTATTTTGATAGTTTTTCAAATTCCTTGGTTGCTATGTTACAATCCGCTGGACAAGCCATATCAATTAGTAGGCAAGTTTTTTCTTTCTGGTTTTTTGACAATAATGTCCGGCCTATTTGCTTCAATTTTTCTGTCTGTGTGGATGGTATAATCCCATAGAATGGTGACATCTTCTATTTCTGTAACCGGCGCTGGCCGATGTTCATACCAGTGTTTGCTTACACATTTTCCAAAGTGTTTGCACATTGTCCAGTATTATTATTATTATTATTATTCCCAGATACATTAAGTGCGCACATGGTTGAATATTTAGAACGTTAGATACCCAGAATCGAATCTCCCCTGGCTCGATTTTAACGGCACTTCTACGTGGTGTTATAGTTAGTGAAGTTGTTTCGCTTCATCAATTATAACTGCGTAGTGAGTTCGATCTTCCCTGAGTGCTCCATACTTTCGGCCTTATGCCACATCTAAGCAACGCTTAGTCTTATTAAATCGTTGTTACCCATAGACATTATAGCCTTTCATTGTCTCTGTGAAATTGCAAAACAATTTGGTAACAAAACGAAAATTATACGAGCATATATCTATCTTTCCCTCCTCCTCTCTCTCTCTCTCTCTCTCTATATATATATATATATATATATATATATATATATATATATATATATATATAAAGCATCAATTATGTCCAACATTATATATATTTAAGCACTAATTGTTTTCTAGTATAACCTATATATATATATATATATATATATATATATATATATATATATATATATATGTGTGTGTGTGTGTGTGTGTGTTTGCCTACTTCCGGAATTGCTCGATAAAAATACGATTGTTTTATGAAGATTAAATTTATATATCTTTAACGAAGCAGACATTATTGATACTATTGAACTAAATCTAAAAATATACCTATTAGTATATTCCTCTTTAATGTAGGTATTTTTTTTTTAATTTGGTGCCAGGGGCATGCAGAGAATTTGACAGATATCATAGTGTTCTCATCTTGGTTGTGATAGTCACAGATCGTCGGCCATTGTGATCATTTCTTTCTGTTTTAATTCATGAGATAAATTATCATTATTATACACTACTCAATTGAAGTCAGAGTCTTCGCTGTGGTTGCTATAGTCACCACTTTTCTACTGTTGAACAATCTGATCTGTTATTCGTTATTCTGGTAATTTCCAATCGAACCCTATTCATTCCGCAGGGGTAAATGGTTTTCATTCCGCAGGGGTAAATGGTTTTCATTTCGCTGATCGCAGATATTTCCTTTGAAGTAATTCTTCGCCGTGATCTTTTTATTCAGTCATAAAGGGAACATTGTTCTTATTCCAATATCTCTGCTAAAGTGTAGTCTTTTCTTGTAAACCCGCTTTTCTCCTTTTTTTTTTATGCAAATCAGTAGTTTGAATGAGCCTTACACTTTAAAACTCAGGGATTGAACTATCAAATAATTAAATACACTTAGCCAACAATTCACCCGCCAGCATTGTCCATAATTCTTGCCTAGTTTGTTTTCTTTGAAATTCTTGAATTTGGCCTTGCACAGCTAAAAAGGAAAATTGTACTCACTGAAATTACGTAAAGAAAACTACTTTGCACCTAATTCTGAAATATATGAAAATAATTATCTTTTGAAAAATCGATAGCGTTTTAACTCATAGAGGCGCGACAAAATTTGATCTAATCTTTAATACCCTACAGAACAACATAAATTAATCGCAACCATTTTCTTTTATTTTAAAAATTACTTTTACTTGTATTTAAGATTATTTTGTGACAGAAAGACAAACAGAATCTATTATTTATATATAATATATATATATATATATATATATATATATATATATATATATATAAGAGATAGATTGATATGATATATATGTAAATTTTAAATATATATATAAAATTAAAACAAATACATAATATATCATGATCGCTTTGATATGATGATGATATATAATTAGACAGTCCTCTTTTGCACACACTATATCAAAGTCATTCCCTCTATAAATATACTTTACCTTACAAAATATCAGTATTTATCAAAGTAATTCGCTATATAAATACACTTTCATTTAAAAACTTTATTAGTCTTTAAAGTAGTCTCTATGTAAATACACTTTCCTTTAAAAACTTTATTAGTCATTATAAAGTAGCCCCTATATAAATATACATTCCTTTAAAGACTTTATTAGTCATTATCAAAGTAATTCGCTATATAAATACACTTTAATTTAAAAAAAAACTTTATTAGTCTTCATAAAGTCGTTCATATATAAATATACGTCCCTTTAAAAACGCCTATAAAATTGTGCATATTTCTATGATAGTTAATCATGATAATATTTTAAATGATAGGCTTTACTGCTCCTACGTTCATATAATAACTGCAGGATCGTTGTATTGTAGTTTTGGGTTCATTATAGAGCTACCGTGATAAAAAAATATTCAAAGTTTTCAAAAACTAAGGTGTTGCCGTTGTTTTTGCTCGTGTCCTGTACGTTATAAATCGAAATAAAGTAAGGAGGTTTAAAAAGGCTGGAGCACATTGATATGCAAACTAAAATGATACAGACGAGAAGAAAAACTCTTAAAATGATGTTTATTATAACTATTCTTGTTATAATAGCTTATTATATTTTACGCTCGACTAAAAAGCACCAACAACCTGAATTAAGGCCGAAGTTCGCCATGCAAAGAATCATGTCACCGCTCCATACTTTCCGGATTGTCTATAACGAAAAACTGGTTGTGGAAGAGGATTACAACCATCGAGCATCAGAAACTGTTTTCCAACCCCTCATTGGGGGCCAAACGCTAAAATTAAACCGTTCCATCATTGGAAAACATATACCGGTCAGCTTCGCGGGGCCTTCGGAGAAGTTTTCCATATCAGCGACATTTCGACCGACTATGACAGAATCGGACAAAATTCTCTTTTTGTACCTGTTTCAGAAATTCGTGGATGCTTGCAAAACGAACAAGATCTCGTTCTTCATGAAGGGGCGAACCTTAATAGGATCGTATCGTCATTACGGCTTCGTGCCATGGGACGATGGCATAGAAGTTTTTGTCAGTGGCTCTCAAAAGGCAACCCTCGCTAGAGCCGTGAAAAAACTCTCCAATTTCAAGATCTTCTCCCCGCGGAAATCTTCTTGGAAATTCTTTCACGAAATCCTCTCAGTTCCGACTTTTGGCAAACTCTTCCATTGGCCCTACATCGAGATCTCCTTCTGGACCAACTCCGCGACCCACTTTTACGACTTTACAACACTTAAGAAACGAAATGCGCACAAGAAAAAAAATGTTTTCCCACTCCAAAAACGTCCATTTGAAGGTGCTCTTCTGCCGGCACCGTATAATACGAGACGCTTTTTAAAAAAGAATTATAATATATTGAAATGTAAGACCAATGTCTTCTCTCATCGCCATCAAATAGCAAACAGATGGACAATCACTGTTCCGTGTCGCAGACTCCGAAAACTGTATCCTTTCGTCAGGCACTATACAAAGAATAATTGTAAGGAAAAATTATATTTTAAAAATCAAGTATTACGCAGATTCCAAGCGAGCAAATGCTGAAAACTGTGAGTATTTCATAAAGTTTATAAGCTTTATTATTGAATTTTGGATTTTCGTTGTTAATATTAAAATTTTGTTATCAGAAGATCAGTATTTACGATTTGAGATATTTGAACAGTTGCATTATGGTGTCTCTTTTTTTTTTAGAGTTACCAAAATTAAATTGCTATATAAAAGTAGGATTTTATTTCATGAAAATTAATTTTAATGCAATGTTACTGGAGACATTTGAAGCCTTAGATAATGACGTCTTTGTTTTTATTAGTTACCAAGAGAAATTGTTATATAAAATTAGGTTATAAAATTCACTTTATTTACATTGATGAGTTAAAGAAGTTGTTACATAAGATTACTTATTCATTGTTTTGGTAAATAAAATTTATTAAGCTTCAAATAATGCCTTTAATGTAGATCCTTGGCATTTTTTCAATAAAGAAATCCCATGTGATATACATATGAGTCATCTTCTTCGTGTGCTGTGTCCACCAAAGCGTAGGCGGTCATGGTTCGCCACAATTTCCAGACTTTTGTATTTGTTTCTCTCTTGCCTTCAATCTGTCCAGTGAGTATCAGATTCTCCGAGCCCTCTTTCCGCATTATGCGTCCTAGAAATTTCAGCTGTTAATTCCTGATGTTAAGTAGGTTTCCTTTTCGTTTCCATTTTCTCTAGAACTTGGTTGCTCACATGTTCGGTCCATGGTATCTGTCATATATAAATGAAATATGTCACTGCTGAAGCCGGGTTTGGACGTGGATCTCGAGACAATGGAAATGTAGACCGCCATTTACTGATTACAATTACGTGTTGATCTCTCTGCCTTCGGACAGTGAGGACCCCAGACAGAGCTAAGCCTACGGGCAGAGTCCAACCAGAACCAGTATATGTGAGGCATACGGGAAATGTTTGTCCGAGTCTACGGGCTCAAACTCACCCTACTTAAAAATCGACCTTGTGTTACATTCTGGCTTGTGGAGAGGTTGGTAAGTATCGGTTAAAATAACGTGTTGAACTCTCTGCCTTCGGTCAGTGAGGAATCAAGACGGAGCTAAGCCTACGGGCAGAGTCTCATCTCAGGAGGTAGACCAACCGAACCCCGTGTATGCGTGGGCTACGGGGAGATTTTGCCCGAGACTACGGGCTCGGATTCACACCACTTAAAAATCGGCCTTGTGTCATATCCTACCTTGTCAAGAGGTCGGTAAACACCGGTTGCAATTATGTGTTGTATAATTACGTGTTGTACAATTACGTGTTAAACTCTCTACCTTCGGTCAGTGAGGAATCCAGACGTGGCTATATCTACGGGCAGAGTCTCGTCTCAGGAGGTTTACTAACCCGACTCCGTGTATGCGGGGCCTACGGGTAGATCTTGCCCGAATCTACCGGTTCGGATTCACACCACTTAAAAATCGGCCTTGTGTCACATCCTGCCTTGTGAAGAGGTTGGTAAACACCGGTTGCAATTATGTGTTTTACTATTGTGTTAACCTGGACGTTAAAGTAGAGTGTTCTGTGTTTCAAGAAATATGCACTGGGATGATGAAAAAAAAGGGTTCTTATTATTAAGAAAACTGTCTTCTGCGGAACATGAAAAGTACGTGAATTTTATTTGAAAAAAAAAAGAAAAAAAACAGGTGAGATAAATTTTAATGAAACTATATTAATAATATCGAAAATTTTCAGTGATAGGAGCTCATTATTCAATACACGTTGGCAAAGGGTTATAATGAAGATTTTGTCACACTATGCTGGAGTAGTGAACCGGGAATATCAGAAATTTAAATTGAATGAATTAACACCTGATTTACACATAATATTCGTATGGGCTTTAACTGCCAATAAGAATGCGGAAATAAGATCTAGGATACTTGCTAAATTAGAGATGGATCCGAGTTTAACTCTCCAGAAAATAGCCGAAGAGTGTCAGCGCATTGTTAATCCTAACCTCGATACTGCAAGGATTGAAGAAAGAAACATTTCACACGTACATAACTTCTGACCTTTAAAAAAAATAGATTCTAGGCCTTTTTCAATACATAATGATTGCCACGGTTGTGGAGGTGAACATTTCAAAAGTAATTGGTTTTCAAGAACAAAAAAATATCATGAATGTGTAAAGATTGAACACAAAGGTACTCACTACAAATACAAAAAATGGAAAAAATAGAACGTTCGTAAAGATGGTAAATAGATTGTGTAAAGTTAAAAAAACAAAGAAAAAACTAACAACAAAAATTCAGTGAACTTATCTTTAACTGAGCTAAAAGCATCTCAAAAGAGGAAATGTGTTTTTGTTAAAATTAATAATATAAAAATAAAACTTCAACTGGATACAGGATCTGATATCATCATTATCAATGAACAGACATGCAGAAAAATGGGTAAACACAGTTTATTAACTTCTGAAAAATAACCCTGGCAGTTACGGGGAGAATTTGCACTTTATGAATGAATTCACTTGCAACATTTCTTTTATATGTAAAACTAAAAATGCGGTTGTGTTAAAGAATACAGCTAATTTATTTGGAACAGGTTGGATTGCATTATTTGATTTATGGGACCTCCCAATTAATTCATTCTTCAACAAAATAACTATTGTTACCTCTAGTGTTAATATGACAACTGAAAAATTAAAGAAAGAATTAAAAAAGTGTTTTCCAGAATTCTTCACAGAAGGCCTAGATACGTGGACGAAAATAAAAGCTAAATTTGAATTAAAAGAGAATGTAACACAGGTATTTAAACAAAAAAAGAAGTGTACTTTTGCGGCATTAGACGATATTAATAAGGAATTAGACAGACTGGAAAATTAGGAGTTATATCATAAGTAGACTATTCCTAATGGGCATCACCAACAGATTACGTAAAAAAAATAAAGGACTATACTAATTTAACCGACTTTCTTTTGGTATAAAGGTAGCGCCAAGCATATTTCAACAGATTATGGATACGATGCTTGCCGGTCTGGATTGTGCACAAGCATATTTGGATGATGTACTTATAAAAAGCGAGACCTGATGTCAGCATACGGAAAAATGTGAAAAAAAGTATTTAAGGGAATTAAAGATTACGGTTTTAACATCAGTGAAGAAAAATGTGAACTGTTTATGACCAGAGTTAAATATCTAGGATAAATTATCGATGCGGACAGAAGACGACCAGATCTATTAAGATCGAGGGCAATAAGGGACATGTCCACCGCAACAAATGTGACAAAGTTACAAGCATTTTATGGTTTGCCAATTACTGTCATGTATAAATACCAAAAAAAGCATGAATTAAGACCTCCCTTGAATAACCTGCTAAAGAAAGCAAGTAGATGGGATTGGTTAGATCGGTGTCAAAGTGCTTTCGAAGAGATCAAAAAAGTCCTAACGTCGAACTTGTCACTAGCTCATTTTGAACTCCCGAATTTGTTAGTATGACCTCGAAATCAACATGGAGGCCTACATCAAGTGCCTTGATGAGGTAGTGCTACCCTGGGTCAAACAGGTGACTGCTGGAAGACCCTATGCCTCCCAAGCAAGAGAACTCAGACATGATTGTCAAACAATTTCTGCGACCACATAACTCCTTATATCTGGCCACCTAACTACCCAGACAGCAAGCTCCTTAGTTATTATGCGTGGGGTGCAGTTGAGCGAGAGACCACAAAACTCCTTGTAATACCAAAAGTGAACTGAGAGCAAGGATTATGGCAGCATTCAACAACTTAAATAAGGAGACCGTCAGAAAGAATTGCAGGAGATTCCTAAGTCACCTGGAGGTCATAGTTGAAGCCAATGGCGATTTTATTGAATAAATTTACTCTTTAGTATTTCAAGATACTTTTGTGTCATTTTTGTAAATATACCTGTTAACATGAGATGTCAGTGTTATTTTCATTTTTGCGTAATTTAGACGAAAATTTATCCATCGCACCCTGATATATGATAGGAAAAAGAACAAATAGGACATTTTTATCAATCTAACATTTTTTTAAAACGTTTCACCCCAAGCAAGGCGGGAAGCCACTAGCACGCAAGAGGTTACTGAGAATTGAAGCGAGACCAAATAGGAGTGATAGAGGAAAGGATGAAGGGAAGGATAGGGGATAGATCTCGGCATCTGGAGACGTCGATTGACATTACATTTGAATAGTTGGAAATTATAGCTATCAGGGAAGCAAGAAAAGGGGAAGGAGTTCCACAGGTGAGAAGTGCGAGACATGAAGCTATTGAAGTACAAGAGAAGGCTACATGTAACAGTTTCGACAGTGAAAGGGTGAGAGCGAGATACCAGCCTAGTTGAACGCTTAAATTCATTCATCGGAGCAGTTACCGTGAAAGTACCTGTAAAAAAGACAGAGGGAGGCGACGGCACGTCTGTAAGAGAGTGATTGCAGATGTGATGCCAGATCAGGGCCAATTACATTGAATATCTGTTTTTGGATCTTATCAAGAACCTTGAGACAAACAGAAAGGACACCGGACCATATATGGCAGCAATACTCCATGTAAGGGCGAATGGTTGATTTGTAGATTTGAAGGATCGACTCCGGCGAGAAAAATTTCCAGGCGCGGCACAGGGAGCCAACTTTCCTTGCGGTGGACGAAGCTATTGACTCAATGTATTTGTTTTATCTCAGGTCAGCAGACAATGTGATACCGAGCAACAGCAAAGAGGAAATCTCGAGAAGTTGAGCATCAGACA